GGGCTGGGGATTCGAACCCGCCACCTTAGGTGTACGCGGCTGGCGCCTTAGCCGGTTGAGCTATAGGCACCGAGCCAGTTTTCTTTTCTTCATAGCTGCTTAGCAATGCCCGAAATAATCTTGGTTATTCAACTAACTTATTTTATGAAACCACTATTTGTTGTGCACCTACTGTGTGCCCAGCACTATTTGTAATTGCCATCCAATTGGACTCTCCATAAAGGCTGGGTTTCTGCCGGCCCAATTCCCCTTTCACGCACTCCTCCCCAGCACCGTGGCGGGCACACAGTAGGTCCTTCGCTGAGCTCGTGCGCTCCGCCCCGCTCGTGCCGCCCCTCCCCCACTCCAGGAAGTGCGGGGGCTCCAGCCGCCCCGCCGGCCGCGACGCATTCTGGGAAAGCAGCAGCACCAGATCCAAGATGGCGGCCAGCAGGAGGCTGATGAAGGTAAAAGCCATTTTCCGGCGCCGGCCGGGCGGGGGGCGGCGTCCTGGCCCCGGGGCCACGGCGGCGAGCCTGGACTCCTCGGGGCGACGCCACTTAGCCTCTGCCCTGCGTGGCCTCGCAGCCCCCTTGGGCCGCGCGCGGGTTGAGGGAACCAACGGGGTTCGCCTAGGCCGCAGCCTGGGCGGGAACGCCAGGCCGCGCTGGGAGCCGCCAGCGGCCCTTCTGCCCGGCTCGGGGCGTTCATGCCGCCCTCCGCCCGGAGCCCGGCCGCATCTTTCCCTCGCGGCCGCCGCGGCGCGGACCAAGGGCTCTGGTGATGTGGGGTCCGGCCTGGAGGCCCCAAACTGGGCGCCTGCGGGGAAGGCCCGAGCGCCGGAGCCCCGGCCGGGAGCCCGCGCCGTGCAGCCGCCCCGCCCTGGGCTGGGGCGATTCGGGCTTGGAGCTCAGTTATGCCAGCCCGCCGCTCGTGAAGCTGGGAGGCTCGGGCTAGGAAAGGAAGGAGGAGACCGGGCGGCCAAACTTAGGTCAGTTTGTTGGTGGGTTGTTTGAAATTTTGCTGGGTCCTATCAAACTGTCGCCTTGTGACTGCAGAGTCACACAGCGGGCAAGTTCCAACTCCAGGAAGACGTGGGGGCGGCCCCGGTCGCGGTTCTTCTTTTCTATCCACCACTTACTCGTCCAGATCTCCTTTCCATGATGAAGCAAAGTGCCATTTTTGGGGGGGCGGGAGTTGGCTTCAGTCGCTGAGTCAAAACGGGCCAAAGTTTTTAAAAATAACTTGGTACTTTGGATCTTGAATGCAGCAGGTACTTTCTGGCTAATTGGCTCTTTTGGTGAGGAATACAGATAATAAATTGGTGTAGTTCTTTTTGCCGGTGGATTTGCCAACGTCCTCCGGAGTCGACCCCGCCAACGTTTTTGAGTTGGCTACCGGTTAGTGCTACTGGGCTGCACGGGCCGGAAATAAAAAAGGCCCAGGAACTGGTTTCCTGAGAGGTGTTAAAGAGCCGTCGTTCGTCCTGGGCAGAGCAGTGGTTGATAGAACTAGACCTTGAACTTAGAGTCACGGCCTCTGAGCCTTTCCTCCCTGAAAAGGTTTCCTTTCTTTTGTTCACTAAGGCCTAGAGAGGACATTTAAACTTTATGAAACTGGAGTGAAAGTGGGCACGAAAGAACAGTCAGCAGATGCCAGACCACTTGTCATCTCTTCTGCCAGTGATACCACCCTTCATCCAGTCACTTAGATGAGCGGACTGTTAATTGCTTATTTTCTTTTTCTTTTCTTTTTTTTTTTTTTGAGACAGAGCCTCAAGCTGTCCTCCTGGGTAGAGTGCCGTGGCATTACAGCTCACAGCAACCTCCAACTCCTGGGCTCAAGCGAGTCTCCTGCCTCCGACTCCCAAGTAGCTGGGACCACAGGCGCCCACCACAACGCCCAGCTATTTTTTGGTTGCAGCCGTCATTGTTTGGCGGGTCCGGGCTGGGGATTCGAACCCACCACCTTAGGTGTACGTGGCTGGCGCCTTAGCCGGTTGAGCTATAGGAGCCGAGCCAATTGCTTATTTTCTTACTCTACTCCCCAAGTGCAGTTGTCCATTAAGCCTTGTGGATTGAATTTTAGAACGATTTCTTGAGCACCTGCCTTGCTTTCTAATCTTACTGAAGTTACTTGGATCCATACCTGTATATCTTACTGCTCTTCTAACCCCTTTATGAACACCAGAGTTGTTCTAAAGCAAATATTGAACTCTTTCACTTCTGTTAAAAACCTCTGTGGTCTTATTGTCCTCAACAGTTAATTGTAACCTCTTAATTGGCATGCAGGGCCTTTCTTAGACTGGCTGAAAGCAGTCTGTTCAGCCTTACCCCCTACCCTTTGGTTTCCCACTGTTCTTGCACCTAATCACAGAAGATACCATTTTCCCAGCTTTTACTCTGTGCAACTCTGTATTTCATATTTATGATCATGTTTAATCCCTGTTGAGTAGGCATTGTTATTACAGTTTTGTAGATTAGAAAAGGGAATGCAGAGATTGTTGGCTGCCTTGTTAACCTAACTAGGGAGAGAGAGCTATGATCTACCTTAGTTCTGTCTTTCCTCCAGAGCAGCGGTTCTCAACCTATGGGTCGAGACCCCTTTTTAACAATGAAAGTACATTGTGGTATTAGGAAGGTTGAGAACCATTGCGCCAGAGCAAAGCCTCCTGCTCTTACCTGCTATGTGATGTCTCTTTGGTGGTGGTCTTTGTTTTTTTCCTGTAAGTAATATTTTTTTCCATAGGGAGGACACTGAGCCTAATGAGGCTAGAGGGTCCCAAGGCCCTGTTCCCTTTTTTAAATTTCACCTCAGAAAGGCTGCCTTTTCTTCACTTCTCCATGCCAGGAAAGTCCTGTGTTCAATTCCAGTGCCAGCTACTTTGTGAACACTGGTGTGCCCCACCGCCCCAGTCACCCTTCAGAATGAGTCTTTTATGTGACCGTGGGATTTTTCATGTTTTTCTTTGAGCACTTTTCACAGTCTGATTTGTGTTACAGACTTGTCTTTCCTACAGTGGGTTCTGAGATCATGAAGGACAGGGATCTTGACCTAAATTCATCCCTCAAACTTAACCAAGTCAACCCAATTTGTAATATCCAGGCTCTCAGGAGTCTGAGAAGGGATTTATTGTGGTCTTTAAAAATTATTTTTGTGGCTCGGTGCCTGTGACTCAAGTGGCTAAGGCGCCAGCCACATACACCTAAGGTGGCAGGTTCGAATCCAGCCCGGGCCTGCCACACAACAATGATTGCTGTAACCAAAAAATAGCCGGGCGTTGTGGTGGGTGCTTGTGGTCCCAGCTACTTGGGAGGCAGAGGCAGGAGACTCACTTGAGCCCAGGAGCTAGAGGTTGCTGTGAGCTGTGAAGCTACAGCACCCTACCCAGGGGAATAGCTTGAGGCTCTGTCTCCAAACAAAAAAAAAAAAATTATTTTTTGTGTAGTTGGGCGTTGTGCCAGGCACCTGTAGTCCCAGCTATTTGGGAGGCTGAGGCAATAGAATTGCTTGAGCCCAAAGAGTTTGAGGTTGCTGTGATGCCATGGCACTCAACTGAGGGTGACATAGTGAGACTCTGTCTCAAAAAAAAAAAAAATTTTTTTTTGCATTTTTGAAAAATTGGAGCTCAGAAAATATATGTAACATTAAGTATTTATAAAATATTAGGTTCTTTTCTTTTTTTGAGACAGAGTCTCACTATGTCACCCTCAGTAGAGTGCTGTGGCATCACAGCTCACAGCAACCTCTAACTCTTGGACTTAAGCGACTCTCTTGCCTCAGCCTCTAAAGTAGCCGGGACTATAGGTGCCTGCCACAATGCCCAGCTATTTTTTTGGTTTTTTTGGTAGTTGTCATTGTTGTTTAGCTGGCCCAGGCCTGGGTGTATGTGGCTGGCATTGTTAACCTCTGTTATGGATGCTGATCCTAGTTAAGAGAGTTTTTAAGGTGGAATAGTAGACCACAATGGAGAGAGATAAAAAGGTAAATTTTTTTTTTTTT